TATCATACAGTAACTTTCCGAGGAATTGAATTGTCATATATTCAGTAGAACTTTCCTTGTTTGTAACAAGACGTGTAAAAATTAAAAGTACATGATGACGAAGAGTTTCTATAATATTTTGCATTTCCAAATCATTAGGAAAATTTTCTAAAGCATAAAATGGTGGAGCATCTTGTAAAAAAGATACCAATGCATCCAATATTGAAGTATTGAATACTATGTTTGACCAAAACCTGAATAAAACATATATATGTGTACATTTATATATAAATACATATTTGATTAGTTGTCTTAATTCTACATGATTACAAATTGAAATAAAACTATTCTAATAGAATATGATTTATATATAGATACCTATAGAATGGAAGAGTGAGGACCCATTTTAAATCATCAATCATATAACCCATAATTTCTATCCAGTGTTCTTTAGCGCCCATAATTTCAGTTCCATTATTATCATACATATTTGGAACTTCATAATGCAAAAAATATCGCTGCTCTACCCATTTTTCATCCTTAAATACATTTTGTTTAGAATAATAATAAGTAAATTACACAAGAAACAAACATTATTGAAAATTATAAAAACAATTGAAATAAGCATTATAGATCTTTCAAATGATTTAATGTTATAAAATAATGATCTTACTAAAGCAGGAACATAATCTGGAATTCCACCAGTCTTAACTACTAATATCAAGTCCTCCAAAGGAATATGATCAGGATTCTGTGAAATATACAAGAAATTGATCCGATATTTTTTTAACAATATTGAAATTCTAACCTCTTAGAATTTAAGGTAATCGCATAAACAAATTATAGCATACTATTAAAGAAAATATTATACCTGAAAAGGCTCCATGCCGTTTTGTAATACATTTTCCGTCATAAATATTGTTATTGATTATGAAACTATAACAGCAAAACAAAATCAAGCGACTGCACCTTGTGTCACGAAATTATTCCTGCTATATTTCTTTCAACTGTATTCAATTCTGTACTCTCTTCTACCTCCACCAATCAAAAAATAAGATCTTTGCGATAAGCCAATCATAAAATTTTGATAAGGATCTGTTTCTTATACAGAGACAAATGATTAGAGTTTAACGTTTGTATTCTGATTAAAAAAAGGGTAATTCCCTTTACGACTCTCCTTTGTTACAAATAAATAAAAAAAATTATTTAATTTTATACTGTATATTATATCCTTTCTGCAATGTAAATTTTATTTAATTTTTCGATTCAGATATATATATATATTTTTTATAATACATATATATATATATATATATATATATATAAATTGTATTTAAATGTATATATAAATATTATTAAAAATCATTGCAATATGTAAACTTCAAAACTTCCTATCTGTCATCAGAACGATATTATAGGTATATTTTTCTTTTTTTTTTTTCGAATTTATATTTCGAACATATCAAAAGGCTATTTACAAAGTAATGCATTTTCGCTTTGATTTTACAATACATATATTTCATTGATTAAAAATAGAAATTTCAAATGTGAACATGAGATGATTTTTTACACTCTCTATAATTAATTATAACAGTTATCTTTGTATATATTGTCCGTTTTAGAACGAGACTCCCGACAGATTTTATTTTAGTTTTTTTTCTTTTCTTTTTTTTTTTTTTGTTAAGCGCGCTATCTGTCAAAGAATTAAAAGTAGAAATACTATATATGTATATTGTAGAGTGTTACGGCGGTCATCCTGCGTTCGTATGGTCGGTTAATCGTACAAGATTTAATATTGTATTTATATTATTGGTCGTTGGATACTATCATATATAATTTTGTTTATTTTGATTATGGAGAGCAAATTACTTAATTCTGCAGCTGATAAGCCACCTCCTTATTCTCCTGCAACTGAGCCAACGGGTATGTTGATTCGAACAAACGAATTAGGTTATTTACGTTTGAAAATATAATTAATACTTTTACGTAATTTTCAACAATCTTTCTTTCTTCTTTTTTTTTTCTTTTGTTTTATAAAATTTGACGCAAGCATATTCTTAGATAATATTTTATGGTATAGTTATTACAAAGAAATAAACTATATCTTTTGTTTGTATACAGTTTTGCACGTTTGACAGATATATGAAAGACATTACATGATATGTGTTAACAAGATAATGAAATTATTTTACTTTGGTGATGATGTCATAAGATAGGCTTTTAATCATTTCTTTATCTTTATCTTTCTCTCTCTCTCTCTCTCTCTCTCTAACTTAATATGAACTAAATAAATAATAATAAATGTAAAAGAGTAAACTCAAATGTATATATATATATATATCTGCAGAAAATACTTCATGGCAACCACCTCCTGGATATTATCCTAGTACATTGATCACATCAAATCAAGGCAATCATATGCCATCCTATGGTGCTACTCAATCTACTACAATTGTTGTACCAGAAATTATTCTTGTTGGGGGTTGTCCAGCATGTAGAGTAAGTATTTTAAAATTTAGAAATTATTTAAATTTAGTAATTTGCTTTCTGATATCGTATTCAATAATGGAGATCATTGTTATAGGCATCCATATAATTCAAATTGTTATTTTTTACATGTAGGTAGGAATTATGGAAGATGATTATACATGCTTGGGTCTACTATGCGCCATTTTATTTTTTCCAATTGGAATAATATGTTGTCTTTTATTAAAGACACGTCGTTGTTCTAATTGCGGTGCATATTTTGGTTAGAAGTTTAATGCTTTATATATATATATATATACATATAAATATATGTTATTGTATTAAATATTGTTTAAAAGAAGAACTTTATGATCTATAACAAAGATAAGCCTAATAGTATGGATATATGAATTAGGTTCCTATGACTTTAAAAAATGTCTAATACAATTGTTTTATAGAAAAAAAAAAAACAGTTTTTTTATTAAAAATAATGTTTTTATTAATAATAATATAAATAATAAGAGAAAGATGATAACGTTATATATATATATATATCTTTGCATTCCAAGAAGCAATTTTGATTAATATAAATGAGCTATACGAATGTAAAATAGTTTTGATTGAAAATCATATTTAGATAGGAGATGAAAATATAAATTTTATATGAAATGAGAATATCTATCCTTACACAATCTTATTGTTTTTAATACTTTAGACAAAATATAAACTTTGCGTTACCACCTTGAATCTCTAAAATGCTTGTTAAGTGATAAACATTCATTTGTATTTAATTAATATATGCAACTATTCCATGTTACTTTATTATGTATAAAGTTCTTTTTTGAGCATTTTGAACAAATCTGTATTAATAATAAAAATTATTAGATAATATTATTAATAATATAGGCTCATAACTTGGAATATATTTAAATTTTTATATTTTTAAAGACACTTGTGATACAGTAACAATAGAATTTAACTAATAACGTAACGTATTATGCGAGAACAAACGATAATTGATTTGATAGATATTTACCAAAGATAATAAATCTTATTTTCGCACTTTTTAAAATTTATTTTTGATAAAATAACAGAATTTTGCAAGGCATTTGTTATTAAATAGTGAGAATAAATTAGAATGAAATAGAAAAGGAACAAGAAAAAGAGTGAAAAAAAAAAGAAATAAAAAAATAAAACCGAATAGTATTCGAAGTCAATATAATATGAAAGTTACCCATGCGTCATCGTTACGAGTGCCTCATCCTTTCCTTATAGATCGTGTTTAAACGATCATAGCCGGGGGAATTCCCTTGCACATTGAGCGAATTCTGATAAAACTTAAGATGAAAAATTAATGAATTTGTAAGAATTAAATAAATCAATAAATAATACAGATATATATTATTATATATATATATATATATATATATATATATATATATGTGTATATATAATAATAATAATAATAATAATAATAATAATAATAATAATTGTAATATTGTGATGCTACGTACGTGTCACGTTTTTTAATGTAACAATTAAATCTGCTTGTTTCGTTTATAAACTGTAAAAAAAAAAAAAAAAGAAAAAAAAATAATAAGAAATGTTAAATAAAATTAAAAGTTAAATAAATATATATTGCACCATCTTCCTTTGTATTTCATCAAAGTTTTTTTTATAATTAAACGACAGATCGATCGTTATCGATCGCATACTTATGTTACTACTACTCGTTACTGAATCTCAATAAACAAGGCCGTAAGTTAGCAAATCGAGCAAAAACATACAACGGTTGACTAGTTCTGGATAGAATTGTATATTACAATTTGAAAGTTTAACAGGCAATGTGTTTCTTTAGATTTATTATATCAACATTTTTGAATTACGCGCTGAAAAAAAAAATTATATATATACGTATATATATATATATATATGTATTTACAATCACGTGAATTTTAGATCACGTGAATTTAAAATTCACGCGATTGTAAATAATAGTATAAAATAGATTTGTAAGAGGGGGAAAAAAAAAGAGCAAAGAAAAATGTCTCCATTAAAGATAAATTAGTTTATCGAATGGATATATTCTATTATAATTAAATTCCAACGATGATTTTCCTCGTTTCATTCTCTTATAAGATTTGCTGTTTTATATATATATATATATATATATATATATATATATATATATATATATATATCTTTGTGCATGCGATCATGATTACACTCGTGTTCATTAAACAGGGATAGCTGTTTTGTCAGGTTAAACGAGGCAAGCGACGATATGTTTAAACGTTTGTAAAAAGACCGGATAAGGAGATCGTATTGAAGAGTTTATACGATTCATTGAATACGGGAAAATTTATTCGTAAAAAAAGAATCAAAAAAGGAAACAAAAAGAAAATTGTTCTTTTTTGTTTTTTTCCTTTCTTTTTTTTTTTTTCTTTTTTGTGAAAAATCGACACTAACGACGACCATGTAATATGATTTTAAAAAGTTAGATTCGGATTCATTTTTGTCGTCGTCGTCTAATTAAACAATGAAAATAATCGATCGTTGAGACAAGTGAATAAAACGAACGTATTGGATTATTATGATATTTGAGAATAGCGAAACGTGATAAGTGCGTCATAATTGATAATTCTATTTTTTCTTTTCTTTTTCTATTCAAACGTTTTTCAATAGTGGCGATAAGTAAAACGTTTCTTAATAATTCGCATATGATTTTCGTACGTTTCGAACGAAAAGGTCCTTCACGATATTCATGACATTTATCCAACGAAAGAAATGAGTTCATTTGAAACGTTATTATTGAATGAATTCTTTTCTTTTCTTTTATTTTTTTTTTTTAAGTTTTTTTTTTCTCGTCAAACGATTTCTTGGATTCTTTTGAAAACGAAGATTTTGAAAGTAAACGAGAGAGGAAGTGGGAAGTGATAAAACATTCTAAGAAACTATCCACGTGGAGGAAATCAAGTTAAACCTGCGGAACGCGATGGAGGGAGATATAATGTTTTTGCGTCCTTGGTCTTAAGGCTTTAATATATAAAGGCAAACAGTGTGGCTCTTACTGCAGAATTAGAACGGGGAAAGTCTCGGTCCTATATATTTGTATGCAGAAGTAATGCCGACGAATGAAAATAAGAAGTTGAACGAGTTGTTGATAAATACATCAGATTTTTATAAACAAAGTGATAATACTGTAGAATCCAATATATCGTTAAATCGAAAATTTTTGAATGATTCTACGATGTCGTCGAAGGGATTGCACGGTATTCCGATAAATTCAAATGGATCAGAAGTTGTCATTGGTGAACGTTTAACGAACAATTTATTGAATGATGAAGAAACCAATCAGATTGGGGGATACTACGAAAGTTTATCCAATCGTATCCTACATGAAAAATTTTTAAGAGACTTGATTGATATATTACTGGATAAAGCAATTTTCGAGGTAAGATTATTATTTTCAAATATTTTCCTTATTATCCGTCGTATCGTTTTTTACTTATTTTTTAATCAATTAATTTTATATTATATATATCTATAATTGTTATATATATTTTTTTATATATGTATATATATATATATATATATATATATATATATCGTATAATATAAAGTATATATAATCTAAAATTATATTAAATAAAAAAAAGTAAATATATATGTATATACATAATTATCTGATGTATAAGTATATACATTATTTTAGTATTGCGTGTGTGTGTGTGTGTGTGTATGTGTTTATATACAATTATCTAAATGATCAGAAGTCAGTGCATGTCTTTTGTGCTTCGAAGTTACGGAAGTGACGCGTTTTACGTTTCATGGAGTAAATTATTGTTGACCAAGGTCATTCGAGATTACACATATTATTTTAAATCGTAATAATTGGTTGAAAAAAAAAAGATACATAATGACACTCAAATATAAATCGAATAATAATCTTTCGCACGATGAATATTTTCCTTTTTTTTAATTCATTAATATCATCTAATAGAAAGGAATAAATCTGCATAAGATTATTTCTTATAGAAATAAGAAATAATCTGCATAAATGTTCACATCGCATTCATAATGATTTCCATATTTGAATTATGTACAAGAAATAATGTCGTGAAGTTTCGAACATATATATATATGAAGTAAGTATACTTGTATGATCAATGTCAGATTTATACACAATCTGTGAAGTCAATTGTCTCGGGGCCTGTAAGACAGGGCCCTACATGAAAAATATGAATTTATATTATAAAATAAATTTAATTTAATATTTGATGACAGATCATATTATTATTATTATTATTATTATTATTATTATTATTATTATTATTATTATTATTTCTATATTTGCGATTACAATCAAATTTGGACCTTTTACTTTGTTTTAAATTTTTTACTTTGTTTATAATTGATTTATTTTAATGGAACCCCCATTAAAAAATTTTTAACGATTCGGGTTCCTTAAAGATTAAATCTGCCACTGTGTGTAGTGTATACTTATTTTTACAAATTTTAATGTGCATCATACATAATGTAAATATATCATAAATATACTTATGTATGTCACTCTTATATGTATGTGTATAATATATATATATATATATATATACACAACCATGGAAACATATGACTCATACGGTTTTTTTGCATTATATGTATATACATACATATATATGCACATGCTTTCAGTAATAGCTACAAGGACAAGCTAGTGTACAATAGTAAATCGAATGACATAGTAAATGATTTTATTACTATATATATATATATATATATATATATATATATACATATATATGTACATATATACATATATATATACATACATATATATATACATACATATATATATATATATACATACATATATATATATATACACAATTATGATATACATATTATTTTCAATAGTTTTTTGTTAGAATCAAAATGCATTCTGCAATTACATTTCTGTATAATTAATGAATGGAATATCTTCAATGCAAATAATTTAAATTATATGTTAAGAAATAATGACGGAAATGATGTTGATAAATGAATCCATTTATATGAATTATTATTTTTCAGGGTACGTCAAGGAATGAGAAAGTCGTGGAGTGGGTGGAACCAAAGACACTTCCTTCTTTGATAGATTTGACGTTACCAATGGAAGGAGTATCACATGAAGAATTGCTGTCGTTAGCTCGTAATATTATAAAGTATAGCGTGAAAACAGGTCATCCACATTTCGTCAATCAACTTTTCTCCAGCGTAGATCCTTACGGTCTCGTAGGTCAATGGTTGACTGATGCTTTAAATCCTTCAGTTTACACTTACGAAGTATCACCAGTGTTTTCCTTGATGGAGAACGAGGTGCTCGAAGAAATGAGAAAAATAATTGGTTGGGAAAATGGCCGAGGCGATGGAATATTTTGTCCTGGTGGCTCATTGGCCAATGGTTATGCTATTAATTTAGCTCGTCATTATAAATTTCCTGAATTAAAGGAAATTGGTTTATCGCAAATGTCTAGACTCGTTGTATTCACATCTGAGGATGCTCATTATTCGGTGAAGAAATTGGCTGCTTTCCTTGGTATCGGTGCTAGCAATGTTTATTGCGTTAAGGTCGATGAACGTGGTAAAATGTGCGTTCAGGATTTAGAAAAACGAATCAACGAAGCTCTGCGCCAGAAAGCTATACCCTTGATGGTATCTGCCACCGCCGGTACGACAGTTTTAGGTGCATTCGATCCACTCGAAGACATAGCTGCTATTTGCAAAAAATACAACATTTGGCTCCACGTTGACGCAGCTTGGGGTGGGGGTGCTTTGATGTCGAAGAAGTATCGTTTTTTGCTCAACGGTGTTGAGCTGGCAGATTCGATAACTTGGAACCCTCACAAGTTGCTCGCCGCACCTCAACAATGTTCGACTCTTTTGATACAACACGAAGGTTTACTTGAATCTGCACATGCCTCAAAAGCGAGCTATTTGTTCCAACCAGACAAATTTTACGATACTTCTTATGATTCTGGCGACAAGCACATTCAATGTGGTCGAAGAGCTGACGTATTGAAATTTTGGTTTATGTGGAAGGCCAAAGGTACCTATGGTTTTGAGAAACACGTCGATCGTGTCTTTGAATTATCACGATATTTTACCGATTACATTCGTCAACGAGATGGATGGAAACTTATGTTAGAGCCCGAATGTACGAATGTTTGTTTCTGGTATACACCGCCATTGAAACGTCATTTAAAAGACGAAGAATTATCCAATCTTCTTCATAAAATTGCTCCGGTCATTAAGGAGCGTATGGTCCGTAAAGGATCCATGCTAATTACATATCAATCTTTACATAATCTTCCTAATTTCTTCAGGCTTGTTTTACAAAACTCCGGATTGACGGAAGCTGACATGAGATTTTTTGTCGATGAAATAGAAAGGTTATCGTCTGACCTCTGAAAATATCAACATATTATCGATGATATCAATGAAAGTATAAAATACCATTTTCTTATAAATTTGGAATTTACAAACTCATATCATGTAAATAGTATTTTTAATATCCATGTATTAATATAGATATACACGTACATAAATGTATATATGTACCTAAAAAAAATACACACATATATATATATATATATATATATATATATATATAATGAAATTATAAACTATTAATATATATGAGTATTGATATATGTAAATCCATGTGTCCGAAAATAAGTTCTAAAATATATCAATATTTTGACATAGAGTATATTTATTAATAATTAATAAGTAAGTAAGTATTATAGTATATTTATTAATTATTAATAAGTAATAAGTATTAATATAGTAGAAGTTAAACGATGACTGATACGCGTTGTTTTTGTTTCTTTTCTTTTTTCTTTTTTTTTTTTTCTTTTTTTTTTTTTTTTTTTTTTAATGTAATTGCACTTTTACTCTTCTATTTACAGGTACTTATTAACAATAAAAAGCACAAACGGGCAGCTTTTACGATTAAAAGACGATGTCACACATATGTTCGTGCAGAAATGCATTAACAGTTTTTAACTGTATTCCTTGAGGAACTTTAAATGAAATTCTTTTAGACTATTTAACATCGTTTTCATTTTTTCTTTTTGTGGTAAAATGGTCGTCCTGAAGTGATATGTTCCAGGTAATTGTCCGAATCCTGAACCGGCGATCACACAAATTCCAGTTTCCTCTAATAATTTAAAGGCATAGAAAAGATCAGGAGATTGACCCTTAGCTTTGGCTGCTTCTATAGCCTTTGCTGGAATCTCAAATCGTGGGAATACATACATCGCACCCATAGATGGATTAGTCTATAATACAAAAGATTAATCTTCGTAATATTGTAAAACAATTAAAAAAAAAAAAGACAGTGATCTTACTTTATAGCCTGGAATACTGTTCAACATATCTACAGCCAATTGCGATCTTTCTGCTAACGATAATAAGGTATTACGTTTTTCTTCTTCAAACTTTGTATAAGATGGTTCATTGGGTTTTGGTGTATTTGCCACTACATCCATCACAATTTGACCAAGAACGGTCGGGCATAACATGGCAGAGATTGACTTTCGCAATAATTGCATTACTGTTGCATCCACATTTATGAGTTCTGCATAACCACCACGTATACCACATTCGCCCATATATCCTATGGAAACAAAATATTTTAAATTTCTTTCATGAGCGTATAATTAAAATATATAAATATTTATTTATTTATTTGTACCTTTGGAGATAGACATGAAAGAGGCCAGTTCCATTTGATTATAAGGTGCTCCCAATTCAAAAGCAACTTTTTTGAATGAATGGAAACAACAATTTTTGTCATAAATATTGTCTTGATATACTTCATCCGCGAATATAAAGAGTTTGTGTTTGTGAGCAAATCGAAGAATATCTTCAATATTAGACCGATTCAAAACTTGGCCAGTTGGATTTCCAGGATTTATTACGACTAAAACACGTGGATTACTCCATTTTTTGGCTTCATTTAATGCCCTTTCTAATTCAGCGATATTCAATGCCCATTTATTGTCTTCATCCAAAAAATAACCAATTTCACCAAGACCAAATTCTGATATACTCGCACTGTAGAGTGGATATTGTGGAATTGGAATCATAACTCCTGTTGGTTTGTTATTTATCTTTTGAGCAAATAATTTCAGGACGGACTAAAATAAGAAAAACAATTATTTTATTATTATAAAATGTCATATAAAATACTAGGGTAATATATATATATATATATATATATATATATATATATATATATATATAATATGATAAAATATATACTTTGATTGCATCTGATGCACCATTGCCCAGAAAAATATTTTCATAATTGCTTGGTATACCATCTCGATTTTCTATATATTGTGCTATATGCTTACGAACAATTTCCAATCCCATAGAGTCTGTGTAACATCCTACACTTCCTCTACACGCTTGAAGAAGTGCTTTCGCTCTAGATTTTGCATCTTCTGGATAATTTGGATCATTAAGGAGATCTGGGAGTACAGTCAAACTCAATACTTGACGTAAAAATGTAATAGGCCTTTGGCCCATAGCATGGGCATCTCCTATATTAGCTTTAAGAACTTCTTTAAATGGTTTTTTCGCACCCTATTAAAAATTAAATATATTAATTTATTAAATAATCTATCAGAGAAAATAATACAGTAAGAATAATGTAACTAATATATCATATCATTTGCAAGACTATACCGGATGTATCTAATTAAAAAGATTATATCTCTTATATAAAGTTACGCTTACACTTTAGTATTAATTGAAATCACCTTTAATTTAATATAATTTCTTTATATATATATATATATATATATATATATATATATGAAATATATAAACAAATATATTATTGTAATATAAACATATTACCAATATGTCATACGATATGATTACGCATTTTGTTGGAACTAGAAACGAGCAATAGTAGTTTTAAACGTGTTTAGAATTGACGTAGGATTGGTCATGTCATCACACGACTACTCGTGCGTATGCATCATCATTTATGCAGGAATATTGTATACGTATCTTGTTAATTTCACGAAAGAGAATTCCTATTTTTAGTTCTATACCGTCTTGTCTCAATACATATATACATTCTAACGTGTAATAACGAATTATTTCTCTTTTCCTATCGATTCGAGCGAAAAAATTAATTTACACAAATCCAGCATTGTATTATCTCAATGACCTTCTAAAAAGGTCGATAAGAGATGCGTGACAGGTGGTCGCGAGCATACAACACATATGTCAAAGATGAAAAAAAAATGGCGCGTAACCTGTTATGCGTCATCAATTGTACACTGAACCATTATTACAATTGACAAAAGTTGACGTAGTTCATTTGAAAATTGGCGCCTTATTAACTCATTCAAATTTTTTTTTACCGCCTTTTCATATCGCTATCTTTCTATTCTATTTTCACGGTTGTCGATAATTTTTTTCTATCGTCTCTCTCTCTCTCTCTCTTAATCTTCCATTTATTTATGCGAAAAGGAAAGAGAAGAAAAAAAAGAAAAAACAAAACAGAAAAAAAAAATAATAAAAAATACAATAAAATAAGAGGAGACAGATTGATTCTTACCTTTTGTAATTCTTTCTCAATCTCGTTAGCCCTTATCAATAAAGGACCACGTACGGCGTATTCCATCTTTTTGATATTTTCATAGATATTATCCTCGTTTAAGATCTTCATATTGTTGGAAGCAGTATTAGCCATGGTGCGACTAAGAACTGTCGTATCAACAGCCACCGACTGAACTACCGGCACGTTCGATGTTCTCGAACGATTAGGTCTCGTTCCAACCGTTGCCCCTACCCCTGCACCTATCAGACCCCCACGTTCCCATGCCCTGGGCCAGCCAGCGGCAGCGATAACGACTGATTTTCTTGACATTTTTACGAGATTCACGATAGTATTTGTGAGAATGAGTGTCACGATATTATACGTTCCTCTCTATCTCTTTCTCTCTCTCTCTCTCTCTCTCTCTTTCTCTCTATCTATCTATCTATCTCTCTCTCTCTCTCTCTCTCTAGCTTTTTCTTTCTCTTTTATGTGACGTATAGTATGCACGCTACGTGCGTGATATAGCTTATAGTCAAGGTACACAGCAGAGTGGTGACCGAGACACGATGGTTGCCAATACACCTCCAATATAGAACAAACTTCGTTCGTTTTCGACTTCGTGCTAATTCGGCTCTATTCGATATCTCTCGTCGTTCTTCTCCGCCTACCACTCGGATCTTCTCGTTTCTACTAACCATCTTTCTTTTTTATTATCAAAAAAGAGTGCAGCATCACTCTCTCTCTCTCTCTCTTACGCCTCTTTCTCACGCTCTCTCTCTCTCTCTCTCTCTCTCTCTTTCTCTCTTACGTCTCTTTCTCACGCTCTCTCTCTCTCTCTTACGTCTCTTTCTCACGCTCTCTCTCTCCCGCATCTTTCTCACGCTTTTCTCTCTCTCTCTCTCTCTCTCTCTCTCTCTCTCTCTCTCTGTCACATACACAACACACAACACACATACATTTATTTCGAAAACAAAACTCAGAGGAAACTCAATTGAGTAGATTTTATGTATTAACTCATTGATGATAATTCCAATATTTCTTTTCTGTATTATCGCGACAAACTATAGAAAGAATCAGGCTTGTTGCATCGATTAATGCTTTCGTATTTATTTATTTATTTATTTTTTATTTTTTCGTGCACATAGAAATATATGGCATACATAATTAAAATTCAATTAAAAATTGACACGGTATATAATTTTTGTTCGAGAAATATTTCAACGATAAAATACAATTGATAAGCTTTTGTTTAGAAATTTGTCAATAACGTGACTCGAATTTTATTTTTTTTTTGACACGATTGTTAAGATTAAATTTTACAATGTTTGTAATACTTCTTGCTTTAAATTAACGCTTTATTGTTCCTAAGACAGTTAAATTTCTACTTTGTAAAAATTATTCGCTCGGTAAAGAGATAATGTCATTTCTCAGCGCGAACAATTATGAGCATAGATAAGTAATAATGATAAGATATATTATGAACGTGTTATTATAACATTATTGGTTATTCTCAATTTTGTATCGAAAGAAAGAAAGAAAAAAAAATAAATATCTAATCAATATACTGTATCGATTGAATTCACTGATTCGATAAAATGTATTACGTATAAATGATCGTAGCAGGTGTGTCTCCCATCTAATATTTAATTTTTAAGAATCAATGTCTACAAGTCATATCTTTCGAGAGATACGTAATACTGATCATTTAAAAATAATAATTTTTAATAAATATTTAAACGAGATATACATATATCATCATTATTGAGTTTCGAAAAGATTTTATATGTATAAAAATTGACTCACTTTTATAGCGGTAGGTCAATGAAATTCGAGACGAAGAAATATCGTATTGTCTTCTTGTTATTCCTCCCAATTTCTCGTTGAGGTCCATGCGATACGTTTAATCGACTTAACATAAAAAAGAATTACCAAGAATATACAAATTTATTTATCTCGAAGAATATTCTTTTAGAGAAGAATTTTTTTAATGACGGCATTATTTTGAACTAAATTTTATCTTTCCAATCACCGTCGATAATTGTAACTACCTTATCGAGTGATATGATTACCGACATTAGTGACAAATGAATGATATATTACGTTTTTGTTTTGAAGTTACAACGAAACACTAATTCTCGGAATTTTTAAAATCAACTAATGAAGCTAATTAAATCATTAAAACGCATTTATGTTACATGAATCGACAACATGTATGTATAACGAAATAGATCCTATTATACTGTAATCTTTTTCAACGCATTTATGATGTCATCGTCGAATTGAGAAAGAAAAAAAAGAAACGAAAGAAAACGCGAAAGAGACTCTTTGATATCAAGTTAACTTGCCTCTTTCGATGATGTACCAGACGGCACTGATCCAAATTTTCTTCGTTTTACGGGCACTGCAGAACGGAGTCTGCGCATGAAGGAATGTACAACTTGATATAAATCAAATTACATTGTTTTAGTATGAGTATTAGTAAATGATTGCAGGGTCATACTCTTTGTACTATAAACTGTATTTTTTGAGAAGATCTTTTTTAGATAAATATTTACAAGTGTACGTCAAATTTTTTACTTTTTTTTTTTTTTTTTTTCCTAATATCTCAAACTTAGAATATTACTTTAAAGAAAATTCCAATTAAAAGATGAAATATTTCGATTGTTAAATGTGATTTTTAATGGATGATAAAAAATAATTCTTATCTTGAAATTTCATGTCAAATAATATCTTTATTTGTAAAACTACTTTACGATTATCTAATCATACATCTTCTTTTTTCTTTTTTTTTTTTTGTTTGTTAAATTGGAAATTACTACTTTATCGACAGATATAAATCCACAATGATACGTCGTTTTAAAATGAGTTAGGAATATATATTTTTTCGAATTAAATTCTAACGTGAAAAATATATGAAAAATGACATACGTTAGTAAATATCGAATACTTTATAAGGTTAAGTTCTTCTTAATGAGAATAAAATTTAATACAAAAGAAAAACGTAAGAAAAGAAAAGGTTTATCAAACGAGAAATACTTTTAGATTCATTTCGAAAAGATTAATTAATTATTATCGAAAAAGATTAATAAGGATCATTTTCTTTTCTTTTCTCTTTTTTTTTTCTTTTTTTGATTAGACAAATCTGTAAAAAGAAACTTTACCTGTTAAAAAGTATTTTCAATTTTCCTTGCTGAGAATGGCCAGTTATTCCGATATATTGCGTCTACTGTTTGTAAAATGAGTTTTCGTATACAACTGTTGACGAATAGCTTAGAAATATTTTTAGAATAGATCTTATATAAGATTCATTCGTAAGATACATAAACATTAGACTGACAAAGTCAGTTGTTTATCGTAGAAACATCCATCGGAAAAATAGGTACGATATGAAATTAATTTATTATTATTATTATTACTATTATTATTATTATTATTTAAAGTGCCAATGGATCAGATCAGTGGCCAAGTCATCAAAATCTTTTTTTTTCCCGTTCTTTTTTAAAGATACGTATTTTGGTTGTTTCTTATCAAAATTGCACAAAGATAAATGCGGTATATATTCTTGAATAATTTCTTTGGAATATTATAATTTACCTCCAAGCTGTGTAATTTATTCGTAACTTTCGTATCTTCATTTGGCCAATAATACTTATCTTTTCTTCTTTTTCTATATATATATATGTATATAACAATTTTTTTTAATTATATGTATATATATATATATATATATATGTAAAACATTAAGTGTTATATATACTATTATTATTACCTATTCTATCCAAATGTTTTCAGGTGTAGGGAAAACTTAATCGTTAACCTTATAGTTTATTATTCTTGGACGGTATCTGTTTGATATTTGCACAATATATTAACAATTATTATTTTGTCAACTTGATAAAAAAATACACAAAATACTGATATATTATAATATTAGGACACACTGGAGCCCTGCCCAGGTCAAAGTCGATTGCAACAAAATATATATATATATTTATTTATTTATATAATTTTACGTATAATTATTTTCATAAAGGGTAAGTCAGTGTTTATTGTTTTCTTCCATTAGTTTACACAGGACACATATGTACAATCTATTATACTCTGAAAATATCAAAGTCTTCTTCAAACTAGAAAGATAATCAAAGATAATTTTATATTATTTATTTGTCAACGTAATATATAATAGAAACATAAAAGTAAACTATTTTTCAATAAAGCAACCATTTTAATTTATATGAGAATTGTAATCACAGATAATGCAGAAGAAAAACTGCACACTGACAAACCCATTATATTATTATATTCTAAGAAAATGTACAATATAACATTGATGTGGCCGACCAAATATTCTGAGAGAAATGATACTTAAAAATTAACATTTATTTATGTTATGTAATTAATTAATTCGTATAACTTTTATATATATATAATTAATAATGCTTAACACAGAGTTCATCGTCTTTAACAAATACAGGATATCTTTGTTTGAGCTTGTAAAAGTCCATTTACCATATAAAATAACAATCTGCCATGTCGCATATTCATAGTTGGCCACTTTTCAGTATAAAATTTCCTATTTCTTTGCCACACCTTATAAAAATACTCATTTAAAAATACAACTTATTGGTCCAATATGCGTGTACATTTATGTGTATGCAATTATATAATAACATACAAATAAATGTATATACATTCACACACACATATACATATACTCAATTATTAGAATTAATCTGTTCTATCACTACACATCTCAAGTAAATCTTGAGAGAGAATGGAATGTGTTGCGTTTTTATGGTACACGAATAATATGAAAATATTTTTAGCGATTATATTTACAAGACTTACAAGTCACACCTAAATGATGAATGACACAATCAAATCGTGCCCATTGCTATTGGATCTCGATTTATTATAATCCTAGTGCGTTTACTTTTTCTTTTCTTTTTTTCTTTTCAAGTGTGTATACTGTAGAACGGATTACAAAATATATCTGCACTCTATGTGAAATAAGTTTTCTTTATTAAAACATAACAAGATCTTTGCATCCTCAATAAATAAAATAGACATAAATAAAAGGTAACTGAAAGAGCAAAAATAAGCTCGTTATAAGGAAAAATCAAAATATTGTTCTATAAAATAACATTATTTTCTCAATTATTAATTTCTTTTCAATATTTTCAACAAATCGTTATAATAACAATTTTTACACAGTACAGATATGTCGAGATCAAAGTACAACAGGTGTGAAAGCATCTCTATATATTCGAGTTAAACTACCTAACACTCGGACTTATCTTCTTCTACCAATTGCTGAGTATCCTTACCCGAATCAATAGGCGTAGGATCGAGTTCTCTTCTTTTAAGATGAATTTGCGGCGGTTCTTTGTGCTGCACACTAGAAGGTTTCATTTCAGCTGGCACTTCATACATACTGCTTGCACTAGTGCCATTAGTAGCACCTGCTTCCATATTCACTGCATCGTACATTGGATTACTAAAGTCTCTATTTTTGTTACTCACTTCATTTAGATTATATTCCACATCGAGGGGTTCCTTTAATAAACATATTATCTATTAATTTTAATATATTTTAACATTATTTTAATATATTTAACATTATTTTAACATTATTTTAATATTATTACAAGTTAGACGATATCTTACCATTCGTTCATGAGCTACTGCTCCAAATTCTACGTTGCTTCCTTGCCTAAAGGATACGCTTTGAGCACCAGTTAGGCCACCAAGACCACCTGTTTTACCACTATAATAGTAAACAGTAATTTTTATATTAAACTGCTATTCTTTATACAAAAAAAATATTTATGTGTATATATATATATATATATACAAATATACTCACAATGGTCGTTTCTTTAGTACCATAATCACTGCAGCAGCTCCGAGTAAAACTAAAATCGATACAACAATAGGAATAACAATAGCAGCGGTAGAGCTACCAGTTCTCGCCACCATAACACCAATTTCACAAAATTCTCCATCAAAATTATGTCGGCAAGCACATTTCAATTTATTGTCGACCACTTCTTGACAAAGACCACCATTCTGACAAAGGCATACTCTTGGAGCAGGCCGAGCTCTTTGTATAGCAGCATCACATTGTCTTTCACTGGATTGTGGAATGTGTGGACCAACGCTATCTGGACATAAACATCGATGTCCACCTGGGACTGCTACACACAGATGAGTACATTGATCATTGAAACATGGATCCCGTAATGTTATGTTGTATCTCAATTGATGATAAATTTTGACTCCTCCTGGGGTGAGAATATCTTTAACTAAGATTTGTGAAACGCCTCTACCAAACTTGTCTTGTTTTATTAATTCACCAGTCTGTTTGGTTGTCCAATATAAATTATTTTCAAATACATCTAACGACATGGGATATTTCAGATTTTCACCCTTTAATATAAGTTTTCGATTTGTACCATCCAATCTTATAGATTCAATAGTGTTTAATTTGCTATCAGACCAATAAAGTGTATGATCCATTGCATAATCGATAGCAAGGGACGACGGTTTACCAATTCTATCTGTGACCAATTGTTTACGTTTCTGTCCATCCATCCAAGCAATTTCTATCTTCGGCTGATTTCCAGAATCAGACCATAAGAGTCGACCAAGTTGTGGATCCAAAACAATCGAGGTCGGACTATCCAAATCCAATGTTACAAGACTTCGACGATATCTTCCGTCTGACTTTGAAACCATTATTCGTCCAAGCGGCCTTACACCAGAATCATCAACTTCGCTCCAATACAAATTACCAGATATCCAATCGACTGCTAAACCGGTTGGTTTTGAATCGGCTACAAAAGGAAGCAAGTATGAATTTTTATTAAATGTGCTTTTACAAATATTATTATATAACAAAAAAGAAAAAAAAAAGAGATAATTACTTTTCATATCCAAATCCTGTGCAAAACCAATTTTCACTTTACCACCCCTTGCGTTTACCATGTAGGATCGTTTAATCGTATTGTCATGAGAATCGATCCAAAAAATGTATTCTCTTACTGGATCGAAATCAACAGCTTGTATTCTCTTCTCATGAGCAATAACATCAATTTCTTCCCTATTACGAAAATTATAAGCTCGAATTTCTTGTCCATTCGCAAACAGAAGCATAACTTCGTCATCCTCTGCTCGACAAACTCCGCTTAAATTATCTGATAATTGGAATCCATGTCTACAAGAGCACGCATAAGAACCATTAAGATTCGTACAGATTTGGGAACATTGATGTTGTCCTGTCGCACATTCGTTAATGTCTTCGCAACGTTTTCTATTCTCTTGTGAAATTATGTAACCAGGATAACAAGCACAAATATATCCGCCATCGGTTATATTGTGACAATAATGAGAACAGCCACCCTTGTTAATGTCCAAACAAGGCTTAAAGTGATCTAAATAAAAAAAAAAAAAAAAAAAAAAAAAAAATGATTTTATGGATATTTTAAATTGAATAAGAAATTGGTAATTATTAAAATTATTAAAAAATATAAATGTAATCATGTATATATTATAACTTACGACATCCCAACTCATCCGATGAATCTCCACAATCATCGGCAAAGTCGCATAATTTCGTTCGCTCTACACATTTTTTATTTGCACATTGATACTCTAAGATTGGATCGCAAGGGCGCATTCTAGTAGCGCACATCGTCATATTATTTTCATCGGAACCATCACCACAATTGTCAATTCCATCGCATAATTGATATCTAGCGATACATCTGTGATTTGCGCATTGGAATCTTCTCAACGTATCGCAATTGAAATTGGCTGTGACAAAGATATTATTAATTAGCATCGTTCATAAATCTTGATAAACGATTACTTGTCATTTATTTATATAGAGAATGGAAACGTACCACACATAGCTGGATTTTCGTCCGATCCATCGCCACAGTCATCACTTCCGTCGCATTTATCGGATAATGACACGCAAAGATTATTGTCACATTCGAATCGTGACTGTGGACAATATCGTCCACCAGGATATCTTGGTGGACAACCCATTTCATCGCTCATATCACGACAATCACGCGTACCGTCGCATCGCAAATAAGCAGCAATGCAATGGCCACTATTACATTTGAATGTATAGTTCTATAACATGAAATTATGAATAAGGAACGTTTGCATAATTAAAACTATACAATAAATGTTAATACATCGAAATAATGAAAATATTATTTTATGTACCTCACACTCGTACTGTTGACAATCTATTTCGTCGCTGTTATCACCACAGTCATCCTCGCTATCGCATCTCCATCTAGAAGAAATGCACTTTCCATTCTTGCATCTAAATTCTGATTCGGAACATTGTCGATATTTTCCTTTGCAAACAGTTTCACTCTCGTCGCTGCCATCTCCGCAATCGTCCGAAAAATCACACATCCATTGTTTCGGTATGCATCTACTGTTTGAACACTTGAATTCCATGTTCGGATCACATACTGGACAACTTTCGGGAAGTTCGTCGGAACCATCGCGACAATCATCCTTTCCATCACAGAAAAGCCATTTAGGTATGCATCGATAATTTGCATGTCCTGGACAACGTTGCCATCCTGTAGTACAATTTCTTTGTCGACACATATAAGCTGGTTCGTCACTGTCGTCTCCGCAATCATTATCAAAATCGCACATCCATAATTTTGGTATACATTTTCCGTTTTTACAACTGAACTCAGTATTTGGATCGCACGCTCTGTTATCTAAACGTAATATTATCGGGGGCGAAAAAATACGTATACAAGTGATACATGACATTTTTTTTTTTTTAAATACTAATTGTTTGTTACAACACTTACGACATATAGATGGATCTTCATCGCTGCCATCGTTGCAATCAGCATCTCCATCACACTTCCATGAATCGTGTATACAACGACCATTGTATTTACATTTAAATTCGAGCTCTGGACATTCTAACGAGCAATTTGCTTCGTCGCTCTTATCTCCGCAATCATCGGCACCATCGCACACCGTTACGCTAGCAGTACAATTTCCATTTGCACATTGGAATACACTTGGGCGACACAGGCGTCGAGGACAATTTGTAGCCTCGTCTGATCCATCTTTACAATCTTTTTCTCCATCGCATCTTAATATAAAGAAAAATCGCAATACATTATAAAACATAATCGAATGAATCGAGATCAAATAAACGCAGAGTTATACTTACTTCCAGAACCATGGTATACACTTTTCATCGGGTGGACCACAACGGTGTTGTCCAGCAGTACAGTTTGCTACACAAGTTTTGCCATCCTTATTTAAAATGAATTGATTAGGACATTTACATTTGTAGGATGTTACACCTGGCTGACCATAGCCTTCGACCAAGTAAGAACTTGCTGGTGGAGCGATAAGACAGAGATGCGAACATCCACCATTGTTTAATGCACAAGGATTATTATACGGTAACTGTCGTAATGGATGATATATATGAATATCGTAAGGTCTGTGCGTCGTATTACGTAGTATTTTCAAATTTGCACCAGAAAATTTCTCTGCCCTACTGATAGCCTTAAGATTCCAATC